TTCATGAAGATACATGATGCCTCGAGCAATTCCAATGATGATTCTAAATCGTCTTTGCCAATCCAATTGTGCACGCATGCCTGAATCTGAGGATACCAAAAGTTAAAAAAAAAAAAAAAGAAAAAGAAAAAAAGAGTCAGTTGCTCTCGCCCCATTTCATGTATGAAGTAGAAGTTTCCTAGTTCAAGGATCAAACCAAAAAGGAAGACATCAAGACTTCTGTTCGGCATGTACTCATAAACCAACAATGTTTCATTATCCTCCAGACAGCATCCCAGGAGTCTAACAAGATTTCTGTGTTGTAATCTGGCAATTAGCATAACTTCATTCTTGAATTCTAGTAACCCCTGACCAGAAGTTCTAGAGAGCCTCTTAACTGCAATTTCCTTACCATCTGGTAGTGTACCCTGGAAATGTTATGCATCAGCCAGCAGGTGAGAATTTGAATCATAGAAGACCTACCCATAAATTAGGTAACAATCACCTTGTATACAGAGCCAAATCCACCTTCTCCAAGTTTATTTTCATCACAGAAATGGTTTGTTGCTGCATTAATAATATCTAACTGAATGGAAGGAAATTCATGGGATCCTCCCACGTTCTCGCCCTCAAAATCTTCATTTGAGTATCCATTTCCAAAATTTCCTCCTCTCAAGTCAAGCGTTTGAACCACTTGTGTAGAACGGTTGGGAAACAGAAGAAGGATGAGCAGCAAAGAATAGTAGAAATTGGATATTTTTGGAAGCAATATGTAAACAACTCAATTCATCATAATCTGAATAACATCGTGCAAATTAACGAGCAAGAATAGAAAACCTTAATACGACTTTTAACACGACCTATCAAATCTGAAACAAATTAGAAAATTAAATCAAATTATAATAAATATAAAGTTCTACTAACTAAGTATTAGAGTATAAATTAATTCCTATATATATTAATAATCACAATATAATTCAGAATAATATAGGATTTCCTTCATTTCTGCATTATTCTCCCCCCAGCCCGGCCCCCACTTGACTTCTACACCTTTAAACCCAACAAGATAGGTCCCAGTAAAGGACGTTCCTCATCAAATTCTCCTGGGAACAGGTTGATCAACTAGCAAGATATGGAAGCAGCAAGATTTGATTCACAAAACAAGATTTAGGAAATTGAATTAATGCAGCCAGATCCACACTTACCACGAGAGCTTCTTCGTCTCCAGACGGCGAAAGCAAAAGAACTGAGTATAGCTAATCCAAGAACCGCCGATAAACTTGCAGTGATTGGAATCCATTTTGGTTTACTTCCTTCAATGAGCAAATTAATTTCTCCTTCAGCCCATAGTTAGGCTTATGAATATAAAAAGAATAGGACCCGATCCTAGTAACTAACAATTAAAATGTATGCTGTTTTAACTATGCATAACCTATATATATTAAAGGCAGAGATTTTTCTAATATGTACCTTAGAAATGGTAAATTTAAAAGTGTTATTACACTAATTTTTTTACATTAATTAATATTAAAAAATACAAAACTTATTAATAATTTTATCATTAATTATATAATTGTTTAAATAAAGATCAATTTTTATTTTTTTAATATCAATTAATGTTGACAATATAGTAATTATATTTTTAACTTTTGTGCTAAAACAATGATAAAAAACCAAACTGTCTCAATAATCGTCATTGATGATCTTAGGCCTTTTCCTGCATAAGAAATAACATGTGTACATAAAAGTGACACTTTTTGATAACCTAATTCATTTTCAATTTCAAAAAAGATAGTAGACATTTGTCAGTTTCCTCATTCTATTTAGGAGCATGGATGCTCCCAAACACAATTAATTTAGTATCTATTTTTTTCTAAATTTGATGAATGTCGAATTA